GTAGTGGACTTTCAAGTGATCCTCACTTTTTATGTATGCTCATTTAGATTTTGGTACCTGAAATCCTGGCTTCATAAAAATTAGAGATTTCTTAGTAGTTTTCAAGACATGACTACATTTTTAACACATCAGTTATAAAGAAAGCTTAACAGTTAAAGAAGTATTTCATGACAAGTCCTGTGAAATTTCTTTTTTAAGCCAAAGGAAGTGTAGTATTTTGATTGCAAGAGCTATTGGACAGTGGTCTCATAGAAGTTGTTTAACTTTCAAGGTGGAATCTAATTCTTTATAAAATGAAAAAGTTGGAATACTTCATTGTCAGAAGCATTGCTAGAAGTAGAGCCCAAATTTCCTAGGTAGAGCCCAAGGACTTCGTTTTATTTAGCAACATTTTCTTAGATGTTATAGACCAGCTCTAATACAAGGGAAAAAACACATCTGTTCGTATTCTGTAACACAGTACTACTTAATTTGGGGGAGATTACAGACCCTCTTGAAAATACTAGCTGCCATTAATTCTGTACCATGTCTGTAGATCACTTTATGTATGTCATTTCTAACCCAAATAATATACCTGCAAAGTATAATCTCCACTGTACAAATGAGAAAGCTCAGGCTCAGAGAATGTTAAAATAACTTGCTTAGGGGCCGAGTGTGGCGCTGGGAGCGCAGCAGCGCTCCCGCCGCGGGTTCAGATCCTATATAGGGATGACCGGTGCTCTCACAGCATTTACTGGCTGAGCGCAGCGTGGCCGGTCTCAAAAAGGACAAAAAATAAATAAATAAATAACTTGCTTAGGGGCCGAGTGTGGCGCTGGGAGCGCAGCAGCGCTCCCGCCGCGGGTTCAGATCCTATATAGGGATGACCGGTGCTCTCACAGCATTTACTGGCTGAGCGCAGCGTGGCCGGTCTCAAAAAGGACAAAAAATAAATAAATAAATAAATAAATAACTTGCTTAGGTTATACTACCAGTAACCAGCTCCCACTGTCTTTGAAACCCTGACTTAGCCCCACGCTCTTTATACTTCATCAACACTTCTCAACTTCACACAATCCTGAGAGATATCTCTCAGGTAAATTCTTACTAATAACTATACTGAAGTTTGCAAATGATTTAAAAACCTGGAACAGATTCACGTTATTGTTGTACTATCTCCCTCACACACTTCTTGAATGGGAGACTGAAAGATGGAGGGATAGCCATTGGGCCAGGAATTTCACATACCCACATCCTATCTCGTCTGAACTAGAGCCCATGGTGAGTTACTGGTGTACTATTTTAATAGTTGTGACTATCATGAATTATTTTAGTACTCTGCTTTCCTAAAAGGTTGTTTTGGGTTTATCAAAATCTGGGTAATATATTTCTTGTGAGTGTCAAGAATAAACATCAAAAGGGAAAAAAAAGTAACAAAATATACAAAATTTAGGATACATTCTAGAATAGATTTTGTATTTTCCAATTTTTGTTTTCTTTCCTTAGTATTAGTTCAGAAGCAGGCCTAGAAATTGATAGCCAGCAGGAAGAAGAACCTGTTCAGGCATCTGATGAGTCAGATCTCCCTTCCACCAGCCAGGATCCCCCTTCCAGCTCTTCTGTAGGTAAGTTGCTCTTGACTGTATGTAATACAACTTTTATGTATCAACCTTGTTTGTGAAGATACTGTTTTAATAGCAACAAATCAGCAATCTTTTTTTCCTGAATTTTAAAATGCTTTCTTTAAAAGGGAAACTTTATTTTGTTATTAAAGAGCACTTGGTTTATATTAAAATAATTATTGTAAGAATATTCTGGCATTGATAATCAGATATATGGACATGGTGGATCCATCCCAAAAGAATAGTTCACACATTTCATCTAGACAAATGGTTGTCAACCTATGTTCTATAGAGCTCTTAGGTCTGTCAGAGGTGCAACAGCGGTTGTAGGGAGTGGGTATCCTGGGAGCGAAGCTAAGGAGTGGTATTCCAGGTCTCTTACCTCTCTTTGAACCATAGCAGCTCCATTTTTATTTGTTCTATGTATGGGGGGTTCTATATGAAATTTGATAAGGAAGGATTGAGAGGTGGAAACTCTGTTGCTTCAAAAAATGTTTGAAATTTCTGATGTAAATAGTTACAGAGTTTGGCTGTTCAAGTTAAGTTAACTTAGAAAATAGACACTATGTATCTTTGTTATAATGAAAGTTACTTCTGCGGTATTTTTTTAAGATAATAATAATTAGCATTTATCAGGCACTTACTGTGTATCAGGCAGTATTCTAAGCACTTTACATGTATTTACTCATTTGATTCTTATGTTAACCCAGTATGCTAGGTACTTATCCCTATAGATGTAGAAACTGAAGCAAAGAAAGGTCGAATAACTTCTCCAAGCTCACATAGCTAATAAGTAAATGGACAAGCCAGGATGCAAACTTAAGAAGTTTGGCTCCAGAGACTCCACTCCTAAACAATACACTATTTTAAAGTTTTTAGGTAGGGAATTAACTTTATTATTAAGGAAATACAGTACTCCGTCATCCACTCTGATTATTTTCATTATATTTCATTTCAACTCTGTATAAGAATTATTGTTTAAATATAGACAATCCTAGAACTTTGCTATCCCAAGATCTCTTTCCATTCTTCTTAGCTGCTTTTCTGTGACACATCAACCTACTTGCCAACATCCCTAGGTTCAGATCCCATATCCACCTTTTAACAGCGAGTAACTTTAAATCTCTGCACATTTCATTATGAAATATGTATATTCATTACTATTTTGCAGTCAGGACTGGCCAGTTAGCTCAGCTGGTACGAGTGCTACACTGTCACACCAAGGTCAAGGGTTCTAATCCCCGTACCAGCCAGCCACCAAAAAAAAAAAAAAGCTTGTATAAGAAAATATGGTGTCTGTTCCCTTTGAAAGTATAATATGAAATTAGGATGTCTTTAAATTTATTTGATAATACGAGTGCTACACTGTCACACCAAGGTCAAGGGTTCTAATCCCCGTACCAGCCAGCCACCAAAAAAAAAAAAAGCTTGTATAAGAAAATACGGTGTCTGTTCCCTTTGAAAGTATAATATGAAATTAGGATGTCTTTAAATTTATTTGATAATATAAAGCACTATACCTCCCCATCTGAGTAGTTACTCATTTGGTCAACAAATATTTGAGTGTCTGCTGTGTACCAGGCAATTTCATAGAAAGTGTTACTAAAAAGCTAACATTTAAGTAAAGACCTGAAAGAGGAAAGGGATCAAGGCTGTGCAGTTATTTGGAGGAGTATTCCGTGTTGAAGGAAATATCAGATGCGAAGTTCATAAGGCAGCAGTGTGTCTCTTGTGTTCAGTGTGAGCAAGGAGGCCAGTGTGGCTAGAGCAGAGTAAGTGAAGACAGAGACTAGCAGGAGATATGCCTGGGGAACACATCAAGTAGATCATCGTAGTTGCCATGGCTTTTATGGACGTAGGAAGTGCTCAGAGGGCTTCAAGCAGAGAAGTAACATGATATTACTAAAATAGGCTTAACAATCAAAAATGAGTAATGGACAGAAACGAGGAGGAAGTTCAGAGGCTATTATTGAATAGTTCAAGATAAAGATAATGATGGCTTGGACAGGAGGATAGAGTTAAGGTTAAAAGATGTGGTCAGTTTTGAGATATGTATTTAAATTCAAGCTGGCAGGATTTGCTAATGATTAGATTTGGGGTGTCTGAAAAAGAAGAGTCCAATACAATTCATGTTGTACCATAATGGGCTGTTTGCTGAGGGACCTGATATTTTGTTTCCATTGTATTCCCCAACACCTAGCACCGTGTCTGATACATGAGTAGTCACCAAGTAAATATTTATTCAGTTAGTTGAGTGAATGAATGAAAAAAGTCAGTTTTTTTTCCCCCAAATAAGGATTTTTGCGTTTACCCTTTTTTGTTAAATGTATCTTATTGTTAATAATTTAAATATTGAAAACAAAAGGACACATCTGCATTTTATCCATTTCATTTAGTAATTAGATTTTACCATTATAACTGCTTTCTTGTTTTTTAAAATTGCTTTTCTTGTATCTTAATGTTTTTCTTAGATACTAGCAGTAGTCAACCAAAGCCTTTCAGAAGAGTAAGACTTCAGACAACATTGAGACAAGGTGTCCGTGGTCGTCAGTTTAACAGACAGAGAGGTAAATTTCTGACATACTGATTACATGATAAAATGTGGGATAGTAATAAATAGAACAAGTTTTCTAATCCTTAAGCTTTATTTTTTTTTAATGTTCCAAGGATTGATTAAATAATTGGACCTTGAGTATGTGCTATTGACTAATTTGTAAGGTTCTTACAGACATATTTGTATACCATAGGTATATAATGAATATGTGCTTATAGTTTATATTTATTGGTCTCTTCCTTAAATCTAAAGTAAGATTTGGAAGATACTAGGTTATAGTGCTGTATGTTTATTTGTTACATATCTACCTATTATCATTGTATTATTAAGTATTTCTTCCACAAGAGAATGAAGCCTCGTGACTTTGTTTTTAGCTAGTGAAAAAATGTCAAATTTTAATATTTCCATGTTTTCTAATGTAACTATTAGATTGCATTTGTGTCATAAAAATATTAATCTAGTTGTTGTAATGATTTCCATTGAAGATGTGGAATGTAACAGTTTTATATCCCCAATGCTAGATATTTAAATGAATTAGGGTAAGTGAATACCCTAGTTTTGAGCTGTCTTTTTAAAAGATGCATTCAACTTGATTTTTTTTATTTTCTCTTACAGGTGTGAGCCATGCAATGGGAGGGAGAGGAGGAATAAATAGAGGAAATATTAGTTAAAAGGTCTGTAAACTGTAAAAACTGTGAATAAGATTGTCAAATCTGTTTTAGTGTAATGATTGTCGAGTTTAAAAACATTTTTGTATTTAAATTGGTATGCTCATCTCAATATTCTTTATTAATAAAATGTATTTCAGTGTCAAGATTTATCATTCTTTTCTTCATTTCAGTTAGATGACTCTCCTTTGCCCATCATTCTAAGGACAGTTGTACCAGACTTTGGATAGGGTCTGCCCGGAATGAGTAGTAACTGCTCTTGCTGTTCTCCTAGGCACATCGATGCTGTAGTAATGATCTAAATGGAAGAGAAATAATTTTTTTAATTAAAAATAAAACACATAAACTCAAAAATAATTTGTGTTGATTACTATACTTAAAGACAGTATTTATTACTTTAATATCAGAAATGTTTTTATTAATTAATTTGAACTTTCTGACAAAAAGAAAAACAATTGCCTTGACAGATTGACCTTTCAACATCTTCCAGTAAAATTAGGTTCAACTCTTCTTTTTGAAGTAAGCATTTAAGATTAACCAAGTTAGTCTGAAAAATAATTCACTCGGGTTTTATCCTTTATTAAGAATACATTCTGATGTCATTCCTGTTACAGAATCCATAGGCAGAATAACTTATATTTCTGGGCTTTTTAAAGAAAAGTACCTAGGGTAATATAATTTAATCAATAAAATTAGTTTCTCAGGAACTTTTTTCTGTAATGATGCAAATCAGAATAACTTTGTGGCAAACAAGGCACTTGTTAATGATACAGATGATAGAAGTAAAATACTATTTTCAGTAGTAGTTTTACTCAAGTTATTGGATGTTTTATCATCTCGTGAAGGTTGGAGCAAGACTGAATTGCAGTCCCGTTCAGTTTAATTGAAATTAAATCAGAAATCTAAACTATCTTTTTCACAGCAAGTAGACTAAGTACAGTCATGTGCTGCATAACGACGTTTCAGTCAATGATGGACCACATGTATGACAGTGGTCCCGTGAGATTATAACGGAGCTGAAAACTTCCTATCCCCTAGTAACATCGTAGCCATTGAAATGTTGTAGCGCAGTGCATCACTCACGTAGGAGCAGAAGGCTATATACCATCTAGGTTTGTTTAAGTGCACTCTTACCATGTTTGCACTACAACAGAATTGTCTAACAACCCATTTCTCAGAACGTATCTCAGTTGTTAAGTGGCACATGACTGTTAACAGCATAACTTCTCACCTTCAGTCTCCATTGCACACTTGGTGTTTCTGCTTTCGTTATATTTTCACAAATTTTTACAAGTGAGATCACCTTGGGAAGTATTAACATTTTACTTACTAACTTACCATTAGAAAAGGCATAGTAATCATAGCCATCAGGTTTTCTGATGTTGGGCAGTGATATAGCTGAGGTAACCACACTCGGAAATCCTCTCCACAGTGTACTCACTTTAACTTCATTATGGAGTAGACCTGCAGATGACATTTTTAATAAAAGGTATCAGATTAAAAGGCAATATACTATCTTGGAAAGAGCCAAACAGACCTGGGTTTTACTCTGTTCACTTAATAGTTCTGTTACTTTGGTGAGTTATTTGATTTTAGTCCCTCAGTTTTTGCCCTCTGACATGGCACTAATACTTAGTATTAAAAAAATTTTTGAGCGTTACAGATTTCTATATAATGTTGTTGGTAAGAGGAACTTGATTAATACTATTTATTGTAGTTAACAAGCCTGAATAAATTTTTCCTTACCCACAAAGAAAGTACTGATCTTTGAATATTCACTAAAACAAATTTGATATGTAAGCTTAAATTATTAGGGCTGTTTGGTCAGTATTTAATAAGCCTTGCTCTATAAGAAACTGTATTACATCTACTTCATGTGTAAGAATTTTTAACACAATAAAGATGTTACCTTTATCTTGATAAGCAACTCTGACTGGTGAATAGTGAATTCTGATGGTGTGAGAAGGTACTATAGCCCGTTCAAAGCGACGTCTCCTAACCTGTGTTGGTTCTCCATACACTGAATAATTTATAGCAGGCCTTCTTCCAGTGCACTTTTTGATGGGTTCCTGTTTATAAGTATACTGCTGAATGCTGCCACCTATTATGTATTAGAAAATCACAGAATATAAAAGTTATTTTTAATCCCCCCAGAAAAAATGGAAAAGAGCATGGAGGAAATGATTAATTTTTTTCTTGTTTTTCATAAAATATGTCCAGATATTAATCATGGCTATTAGTCAAGGATATTATAAAAATAATTACTAAACCCTGAAATACTTGTTGAATGAATAAATCCAACAAATTGCACAGTTACATATATTTAACTTTAATTGAAAATAAATATGACATTCTTTATTTCAGTGACCTGAAAACTCAGGTGAACTGCGCTTTACGTGTGAAGAGATCTAAATACTTATTGCCCTCAATTTTTATTTTGTGGTTGAAAGTGTTTGATTCTAGCCATTAAAGATATCTTTTGACAGTAACCCCAGTAATAAGTGAAAATATTGAATAAAAATTCTCAACATGTTTTATAATTTTGTCAATTATGTAATACATACCTCTCTTGAAAAAATACACAGATTCCGGCCTGTCCTTGTATTTAGCTATTGAAAGAGCTGCCACTATTTTTCCATTTAGTCCTCCAAATCCTTTTACAATTTGTTTGGGATACCCTGCATCTTTTATATCATTGGTGAAACGCCAGTACTGAGAATCCTAATAAAGAGAAAATGATGTTAACAGCTTTGGGGAAAAAAAAAAAAAAAAAAATTGTTAGGAACTCAGAGGTAAGTATGGGGAAAAAGTGTTAACTTAGTTAAATATTTGAATAAGTCGACCATTAATGTTATCAAGTTAAGTGTTAAATTATTATTAAATTTTGATGATAGAATAGTTCATTAAAATATGGGACACTTCTGAATTGGAGGTTTAGGTGATTTATGTTGTAGTAATAAACAGTGGAATTGCTATTTTGTTACCTTAAAGAAGAAAGTTTTTCCATCACAGTTGCATCTAGTAAAAACAGTGTCAATGGGGGAAGGAATACCCCAAACTTCAGTAATTCTGCGAGGTGGAGATGGTGGACTGAACGGACCTAGCATCCAGAAATAATGACCTAAAATTTGAAGAGAAACATCAGCCTACAGGCTGAATACTAAAACCTATCTCAAAAGAAACCAAAATGTAAATTTTATTAATGGTTATTATAAAGAAAAACAGATTGAATGTGTTAACAAGTGTTATGACTATAAGTTTAAGTCAGGTACAGAAGGTAGTATTTGAACATTTCTGAGAGTAGATATTTCTCAAGTCTGAAATTTAGCATAACCTTTGAAAAATTTTAGTTTTCCATTTTCTCTACAAAGAGGCTTTTGGCTTTGTGACTTACAGAAAGTCACTTATGTCTCTGGATCTCAATTTCTTCATCTTTTAGAATAAAGGAGTAATAACTTAATGACTACTAAAATCTCTGTAGCCTCTACTGTGCAAGTGTGGTTTGTTTCTTTCCAGATTTAATCCAAATATGTTTTAAGAAGACTGGACTAGCAGAGACTACAGCAGAGATTTAACATGAAATAACTACTGTCCTCCCGTTTCTCTTCCACAGAGTGTAACACTTCACAATTGAGATATTTTCAAATAAAATAGAGCGGAGAATACAAATCCTGATGTTATTTCATTTGATATGACATTAAAATTTGAAATACCTTTTAAATCCTAGCAGTCGGAAAAATCTCAGTAGTACCAGTTCAAGGTCTTTTGTTTGTTACTTTAATGTGTTGATTTTGTTAATCCAATATTTTGGTTATTACTCTTAGGTTCTCATTTTCGATGTAGGTTCATAAATCAGTTTCCTTTCAAGGAAGCTCAACCCAAACTAACACTCTCCCGTGGCTTTGATTCTCATAAATGCCAAAGCAAAATGATGGAGAAGAAACAGAAATTTGTACACTCACCTCGAAATGCAACTAATGTTCCATTGCGCAAAGTAGTCAGTCCATCTACCGGCTTACCGTTGCATAAATTGGTCTCATCTAAAACAAATTAACAAAAAATTAACCCAATGCAGAGCAGAATGAGAGAAGTATCTTTTTTCAAATTTTCCCGTTGAGTTTCATGACCTGTTTACCCTTTCCTAAACTCTTGAAGGGCACAGTTTGAGGTGCTTGCATTTCAAAGGTGAAAGAGAAGTGATATATTTTATAATTCCATTTTACTTAAAGATGATACTATTCAAAAGTATTATATAATATAAATCATTATGAATTGGAATTGGCCTTGATCAAGGTTACCTTGATCTTCGTGTAAACTAGGCATTTATTGGATGTTTGAACTCAACTAAGTTTTTTTGACATTGTATATACCGTCTCTGCTTCTTACAGACACAGATACACTAAATTCCTAACCCTAGGTTATTACTTGATTTTCTAAGGACTGTGATTGCTCTTCTGCTTACCTTTATAGGTAAGCTATAAAACTTCACAAGTTAACCAGTTCAGGGTTCTAGGTAATATATCAGTGGAGTGATCCTAAATCAAGACATTCTGGTTCAGATAGATGTAAGTTAACATAAGCAGTTTTAAAAATGAAAGTAATTGATTCTTATTACCTGAAAGCATGGGGTTGGTGCTAAGGCCTTGAATGTGCCCTCTCACTAAGTAATCAGTGCCTGGAATAACTATTGGAGTTAACACAGGCGGCATGGGAATCATAAGAAGTTTTTCTCCTTCACCATCTGCATCTTCATTCTTTGGATTTACTTCAACTATTTCTGAGTTTGGAGTTTGGTTAGGGCTGGTGGTGGTTTGGAGCATGGCTTCCGCTAAAGAGGTAGGGTTTAATTCAGGCACTGTTGAAGTCATCTTTGGGGGAGTTGGTGTAGTCTTTGGTTTTCTCACTCTAGGTGTTATGTTTGGCTTTTTTGTAGAAGTAGGCTTTTGGGGTGCTTTGGTTGGCTTTTGGAGTTTAGGAGTTGTTGCTTTAGAATTAGTTGTATCTTTTGGTCTAGTTGTTGTTCCTTCAGGTTTGTTTATAATCTTTTTAGTTGTAGTAGTTGACTTTTTTGATGCAGTCGTTCCTGTGGGTGCAAGAGTTGTTGCTTTAAGAGTAGTAATTTTGAGTGATGTGGTATCTTGAGTTGTGGTAGATGTTGCTTGCATGGTTGTACTTGTTATTTTGGATTCAGTAGTCTTTTCTTCTGTTGTAGTTGCTGTCTCTTTTGTTGTAATCTTAGGTGCAGCAGTTGTAATTTCAAGTGTAGTATGTATGTCTTTTTCTGTTGTCTTGTCTTTAACTATTGTAGTGATTTCAACCTTGGTCACTTCAGAAGTCTTAGTTGCAGGTACAACAGGCTCCTTTGGACTGTTTTCAAGAGCCTTTGATGTGGGTCCTGCGGAAAACTCAGGAGTTGATTCTGCTGGCATCTTGGGGGTATTGGGAGGCTCCATGGTGGTAGTTGGAACAGATGACTCGGAGGTGGTTGGAACAGGCTCCGTGGGGGTGGTGGGTGTAGGCTCCTTGGGGGTGGTAGGAGTGGGCTTCTTTGAGGTGGTGGGTGCCAGATCCTTGGGGGTAGTGGGAGCCGGTGTCTTGGTGGTGGAAGCTGGTGCCTTGGGGGTGGTTGGAGTGGTTGGAGCCAGTGCCTTGGGGGTGGTGGGAGCTGGTGCCTTGGGGGTGGTAGGAGTGGTTGGAGCTGGTGCCTTGGGGGTGGTTGGAGTGGTTGGAGCCAGTGCCTTGGGGGTGGTGGGAGCTGGTGCCTTGGGGGTGGTAGGAGTGGTTGGAGCTGGTGCCTTGGGGGTGGTTGGAGTGGTTGGAGCCAGTGCCTTGGGGGTGGTGGGAGCTGGTGCCTTGGGGGTGGTAGGAGTGGTTGGAGCTGGTGCCTTGGGGGTGGTTGGAGTGGTTGGAGCCAGTGCCTTGGGGGTGGTGGGAGCTGGTGCCTTGGGGGTGGTAGGAGTGGTTGGAGCTGGTGCCTTGGGGGTGGTTGGAGTGGTTGGAGCTGGTGCTTTGGGGGTGGTTGGAGTGGTTGGAGCTGGTGCTTTGGGGGTGGTTGGAGTGGTTGGAGCTGGTGCTTTGGGGGTGGTTGGAGTGGTTGGAGCTGGTGCTTTGGGGGTGGTTGGAGTGGTTGGAGCTGGTGCCTTGGGGGTGCTAGGAGCTGGAGCCTTGGGGGTAGTAGGAGTGGTTGGAGCTGGTGCCTTGGGGGTGGTTGGAGTGGTTGGAGCTGGTGCTTTGGGGGTGGTTGGAGTGGTTGGAGCTGTTGACTTGGCGGTGGTTGGAGCTGGTTCCTTGGGGGTGGTGAAAGCAGGGGTTTTGGTTGTAGTTTCAACTTTGGGTATAGGTTTAGCAGGAACATCAGATGTGGCCGCAAAATCTTGAGTAGATGTTTTCTCTGCATTTTGTGTCTCTTCAGCTGAAGTTATCTCTTTTACACTAGTTGAAGTCTGTATATTTGTTATGGTAGTCTCTCTAGTTTCAACTGTTGTCTTTTTATTGGCTGTCAAAGATGTCTCCTTGGATGTATCAGAATTAGGTGGAAGACTGGGTTTAGGATCTGTTGGTTTTACTGTTATAATCTGGGGAGATGTGGTAACTTCATGGTGTTGGGTGGTGGGAGTGGGCTCCTTGTGGGTGGTGGGTGCGGGCTCCTTGGTGGGAGTAGGTACTGGCTCCTTGGGGATGATGGGAGCAGGCTTCTTGGTGGTAGTGGGTGTAGGTTCCTTGGGGGTGGTGGGTGCAGGCTTCTCGGTGGTAGTGGGTGTAGGTTCCTTGGGGGTGGTGGGTGCAGGCTTCTCGGTGGTAGTGGGTGTAGGCTCCTTGGGGGTGGTGGGTGCAGGCTTCTCGGTGGTAGTGGGTGTAGGTTCCTTGGTGGTAGTGGGTGTAGGTTCCTTGGGGGTGGTGGGTGCAGGCTTCTTGGAAGTGGTAAGAGCAGAGGCTTTGGTTGTAGTTTCAGCTTTGAGTGTAGGTTTAGCAGGAACATCAGATGTGGCTCCAAAATCTTGAGTAGATATTTTCTCTGTATTTCGTGTCTCTTCAGCCGAAGTAGTTTTCTCTTTTACACTAGTTGAAGTTTGTTTTGTTACAGTTGTCTCCTTTGTTTCAACTGTTGTCTTTTTCTCTTTGGATGTATCAGAATTAGGTAGAAGACTGGGTTTAGGATCTGTTGGTTTTGCTATTGTAATCTTGAGAGTTGTGGTAACTTTATTGAGTTGGGTGGTAGGAATGTAAGGAGTTGGGGTGAGCCTGAAATCGTCCTTGTCCAGTCCACTTCCAGCTTCATCTACATCTGGTGGTTCTGGGACAGGTTTCTTATTTGGAGTTCTTTTCTTCTTGTTATCTTTTACTAGAGAAAAAAATATACATTTTGTTATTTTTGATTAGTTTTTTCTTTTTAATGGTGACATAAAGATTCCACCCTTATCATTGACTAGCTGTGTGTCCCTAGGCAAATCTCCAACTTCTAATAATATGTCCATTAATTTATTGTAAAATGGTAAATACTCAACCTATCTTAATGGGCTGTTTTAGGGAATGGATGAGATAAGGATTGAAAAGGACAAGTAAAACCTTATACAAATACATGGAAGCCAGTGGCAACTTTGAAATTACCAATATGACCAATAACACTAGTTTATCTCTTTTTTTTTTTTTTTTTAAAGATGACCGGTAAGGGGACCTTAACCCTTGACTTGGTGTTGTCAGCACCACGCTCACCCAGTGAGCAAACCAGCCATCCCTATGTAGGGATCTGAACCCGTGGCCTTGGTGTTATCAGCACCGCACTCTCCCGAGTGAGCCACGGGCCAGCCCTTAGTTTATCTCTTTATATGAATTTTCTTTACTCTTCACTTCGTCCAGTCCTCTTATTCCTCGTTGCCCAGTGCCCCTTTCTTCCTCCTGGTTTCACCGCACCAGTTACCTCAGAGACCTCTACAGCTACTTCTAAGGAATCTGCCGCAGTCATCCACGAGATCCCTGCTAAGCCCTCTTTCTATACACAGGTTTATTAGCCACTGTCTTTTCTCTGCCCGACCAGACTTGACAGTCCCAGGGGGTGGAGGGAGAAGATTAGGATGCCATGGCAGCAAAGACTTTATTTAACAGGGTTTCTTACAGCAGCTACCCCACAGGTAAACTACGAAGCCCAAGGGCATTTCACTGAGGTGAATTTTGTTTAGCAAACATGTACTGCACTTCTATTTTGTGCAAGATTCTGTGGATGACTCTAAGCTTAAATATCTGGCTATTCAGCTAGAGAGAACGCTTCAGAGGAAATCACAACCACCTAAGAGACAGAGTTCTTCAAAACTCTATTATCCAAAATTCAGTGTTTCCTGGAGAAAGAGAACATATTTTAGAATTTCAGGAAATAATAAACAGAGCAGAACAAAGGGCTTCTCTTTGGAGGACGTAATAGCCTACCCTTTAGCACATTCACTACTAGAGGAAAATCAGCCAGATATGATACATAATTTATTAAGAAAATAATGAAGAGGATCTGTGGATAATCATATTGCCTTTCCATAAAGGTTTATGAGAATTTAATGGGTTAGTATTTGTAAAACACTTAAAGCATTACATAAGTGGTTGTTAACAAAAGAAAGCTGGGGAAAGTAAAATGAAGACACAAGGAAGATAGAGGAAAGGGGAAAAAAGCAAAATGATATCAGGGAGACAGGAATTATAGCAGAGCTCTAAGTCATCATGTCTGATGCCATCCTGTGGTTCCACGGTCGCTGCCACAACTTCTTATCCTTTCCTTTTAAGAGTGGCTTCTTAGCTGCTTGGCACTAAAGTTATACACACACACCCCACCACCACCACCACCAAATATTGAGATATCCTCAAATCATTCTACCAACACGCATTACTTTCAAATAATTATTGTTATCGTGGCATTGATATAGTCTTTGATCTTTATCAATGCTCAAACCTTTGGGTTTCTTCTGTAATTCTCTATTAGCAGCTGAATTTTTGGAAGACTTGATTTTCCGAATAGTTGAAGAGGAAGAGGAAGAGGAGGAGGAGGACTCTTGATTTTCAGAAACAGAATGTTCTATAAATCAAATAAAAAGGTTGATCACACCAACTGTGATTTAAAGCAAAAAAGAACTGCCAGTCCAAATACAGTAAGAAATGCTATTTACTGATCTACAAATATCTATGTTCTACCTTTATTTTGTCAGTAATATGATAAACTGCCCTTTTAATTTGTCACTTAAAAGCAAGGCACCTGAACTTATCACAGATATTAGCAATATAACTTTCAATGTTCATATCTGCAAAATTTCTCATAGATACTAATTATTCTGCAAAAAAAAAAGAAAAAGAAAAAATGGGTTTTGTTTTTGTTCTTGTTTTTTATTGTAAGATTTTCTTCTCTTCAGATTATTTTAACCCAGACACATGCTGGGTTTGGTAAATAAGCAAAGACTATGAATACCTGACAGTTTATACTTTGGCTTAAACTCTGATTTAAACAGAATGTGTAACGAGCCTTTTATGACTCACGAGATCATCCTGTTCTCCGAGAACAGTCTCATATAAGTAGTCCACCTACAGGATAATTTCATCTAAGAAACCTCCTTTTGTTCCATCTGTCATCTTCCTACCTTCTGTTATTTCCTTTGATTCTATAACTTTCTTAGTCGTCTTCTTATCTGGTGATTTGGGTGAACGTTTGGTTGTTGATTTGATGGTTTGAGGTGCTCTTGGAGGCAGAGGTGCAGTCTTTGAAGATGGTGGAGATGTGGGATTATGCACTGAGGCCAAGCAAGACATGTCGGTTAACATCTTATTTATATTCATCAGCAGCAACTCTGTGAAAAGCACTGATGCATCTGGCTTCAAGAGTAGATGCTGGTTAAAGCCAGTGCGGGCAGGCTCTAGCCCAACACTAAACCAATTAATTCTGAGGATGCAGTGCTACGAGTATCAGTTCTCAAATGGTTGTAAATAGGACAGGGAGCAGTCTCAGGAATCAAAAGACCTGAAATCCAGTCCTAGGCCTGCAAATCTAGATCTCCATTGTGACACTGGACAAATAGTCTAACTCCTCCTGAACTTCGTTTTCTCATCTGCAAACTAAGATGTTTAATCAAGATGATTTCTGAAGGTGTTCGCCCACCGGAAAAACACTTGATTCTATGAGCTTTATCTGTCATGCCACCCTTCCTTGATTATAAAAACAATACTATTTTTGTGGACGACAGGTTAGTCATGCTCTTGAGAAGAGGAATATAATAATTACCTTTTTTCTATTCATATCCATTTAAATCAAATTATGCTAATTAACCTTTTATTTATTTTCTTTAATTGCAAAAGTTCTACATGAATATTTATTCTTGTGAAAATTTCACACCTTCACATTGTGCTTTTGCTCCAAACATAAAACTTTCCAAAGATAAACAACTGTTAATGGTTTGGTGTGTAACTTTTTAAACTTTTATCTCCCTCCCCCCTTGCCTTTTCATGTCTAGAAGAGAAGACACGGCGCATTTTTTTTATCATTAGGAATTAGAAGAAAAAAAGAGGGACTTTTGAAAGATATGAAAACACAGAGCCATGAGGACTGAGAAGAGTTGTGATAAATCCTGCTGCTCCCACCAAACATCTCGCAACTCTACTACCGGAGTGCCCGTGCACTGACTACTGAACCTCTCCCTTTCTCCTCCCGTACAACAAAAGTGCCAAATACTCAATTTGAGAAACAGTCCTGCCACGTGCCAGCTAGTGATCTTGGGCAAGACAGTCAACTTCTTAGGCTCAGTTTTCTCACCCATATTCGGAAGCACTTGGACTGCTATGATTCCTTCACTTCTTTACCTTGCCTTTTCATGTCTAGAAGAGAAGACACGGCGCATTTTTTTTATCATTAGGAATTAGAAGAAAAGAAGAGGGACTTTTGAAAGATATGAAAACACAGAGCCATGAGGACTGAGAAGAGTTGTGATAAATCCTGCTGCTCCCACCAAACATCTCGCAACTCTACTACCGGAGTGCCCGTGCACTGACTACTGAACCTCTCCCTTTCTCCTCCCGTACAACAAAAGTGCCAAATACTCAATTTGAGAAACAGTCCTGCCACGTGCCAGCTAGTGATCTTGGGCAAGACAGTCAACTTCTTGGGCTCAGTTTTCTCACCCATATTCGGAAGCACTTGGACTGCTATGATTCCTTCACTTCTTTAAGTGTTATAATTTTTAGATATAGATGCCTGTCTATAGCTACCCTGAAAGAATTAAGTGGTGAGTCTCAGTCAGGAGAGTTGGTTGGTTATTCTTAAAATGAGGTATTTAAACTCTGGGTGGTTCCTCTATTTTCAGATAGGACCCTGACTACCTCTGTTAATTCTGTAAATGAAATGTCCAGTATTGTTTTTGGATTAACTAATTCTCAGGTAATCTGACCCAACACTTCATAGCATAAAGTATGCCCTTGTTAAATTTTTCTCTCAATCCTCTTCCCTCCCTACCTGTCCTCTGCCCAAAATAAGTCCTTAGTTTTTTTTGTCTCACAGCCAAAACAATTATCAGGGTAATCAGTAAGTGTGTACCACGAATCATCAGGCCTTCTGAAAGCTACAGGAATGCTGAGCTCTGAGTTTTTGATTACAAGGGTGTTATCTCCATTATTTTTGGAGTGCTTTCCAAAGAAAACATTGAACAGTCAAGAAACATCCCTCAACTCTGCTGATTAACAGTTTTCCATTCTATTCCTCCAATGTTCTAAACAAGCAGGAGTTGCAAGGTTGTTTAAATAAAATAACATCATGCAGGCAATGCTTATTTTCACTTTTACCTCCATAAATATTCTCATTTTAACAAAGTAGGATTTAAGAGCAAACATCTGGTAAAAGAAAGTAATCCATTATTTAAGTACATTTTTTTAACCTCTCTCTCTTTTTTTTTTTTCAATACGGAGGATTTTGTTATATTCTCAGAGTCCTTCTTCAGGACCTATAACAAGAGAAGAGGATTGTTAAACTCGACTATCCCTTTTTATTGACTGTCTGCACAGGCATTTGTACAGAGACTACTGAAGGGGCTATAGAGATGGGAAGAAACATAGAACTGACAGTTAACAACTTCTTGGTAGATTTGCCTGTAAATTTAGTGGCTAAAACTAATTCACGAATGTACTTGTTCAGAGAAGCTAAAAGTATTGATTCGTCCTTAAATATACACTCAAACATTAAAACAAAACCAGATAGCTCAAAAGACAATTGTCTTTGTGGAGTCAGCACCATTAGATTGAAACGAGAAATCAAGTGTGTTGATTACTTTTGGTTTAACCTGAAATTAAATCATATCTGAAGAAAAAATCATGTACACTCAGTTCTCTGTTACTCAACCAGCAATCTCCTATGATCCCGGAGACTGGCTGAGCCAGGGGATGCTGCTGTTGGAAGACACTTTTCTTCTTTAATTCATTTTTGTAAAACAGAAGTATTATGAAATAGCTTATACATTAGTAAAGTCCAGACCTCAGCTGGGCTGCGAGTTGCTTACCTTCTGCACAGAATCTGCCATAATCCGAACAACACTTGCCGTACTTGTCACATTGGGAGTCACAGTCACACTCCCTTCCTCGTGCAAAGGACTCAAAGCAGCGGCCTTTACAGGAAAGCTCTACTCAGAGCAAAAGAAAACATTATGGATTATTGATATGAAGCCATACCCATGTATTTGATAGTCATTTCCCACCTTACAGCTGACTAGCGTTCCAAAAGTGTATTTCTAAGTCCTTTATTTGGGATTCGGAATATATCATCCAGTAAACCATGGGTGGTGTTTCACATGGAGACAGTCCAAGTTAAGAAAGAAATGTGGTGACTTAGGGAAACTTTCCCTGTCCTTCAAGCCCTTAGAGACCCTCCAATGCTACCTGAATCACTTACATGTATGAACAATAGAAAAATGGGAAATGTTTGAATAATAAAGTATTCCTTATATGAAATCCTCTGTCATTGCCTCACACCACTGATTTGTAATAGATTTATATTAATTGAATGTTCAAATCCTATAACAGTACATTCCAAAGAGCTGGCTTAATATAAATGGGTCACTGGTCAGGCTCAAAACATCATGTATAATGCATTCATCAGCTTCACATGCACATTCTAAAGCAAATATAGCTTTAAAATTTTAATTATAATTTTCATAAATTGAATATGAAGTGTTTCTGCGTTAATAACAAAATGGCCCAAAATATGTTGAAGTGAAATAGTACTCATAATTTAAAATTTAGATTCCTTGGGTTTTAACTGAAACTCATCACTAAACACTAGTGCTTCATCTTTAAAGTGCTTTTTTCAGGTAATTTAGAAACATGTTAATATCAAAAAGTCACATAGTAGACAAGATTATTCTATGCCCATGGATTTTTTTTTGTTGAAACTATTGAAAGTCCCCATCATTAAACAATTACATCTTTGATTGTTAGTAAATAATTCCTCATTACTATCTATTTAAGGACTCCTGAGTCACAGTATTGTCTGTATTGAAAACAAGACATTTTGCTTATTTTCAGGCTCCCCCTTCCCCTCCCCAGTGATCACAAGCTTTGACATCATGATTGTTAGTAAATAATTCCTCATTACTATCTATTTAAGGACTCCTGAGTCACAGTATTGTCTGTATTGAAAACAATACATTTTGCTTATTTTCAGGCTCCCCCTTCCCCTCCCCAGTGATCACAAGCTTTGACATCATTCTTAGCTACAGCACACTGCGACATTTATGCAAGTGAAGGGAAAGGCACTTAAGCAAAGGAAGTGAAATAGTGAAAACAGCACTGCAAGGGGGTGCGAGGGGAGGCTCACGGTGCTTGACAGAGAACAGCAGTGCTTGACAGAGGAGATGCCAGTTCTCAGGACTTACCCTTGGTGCAGACTTTCTTGAAATCAGGGCAGCACTCCATGTAGTGTTGACAGTTATAATCACAGTTGCAGGGGGCATCTCTAGAATACCCTTCCCCACATCTCCCTGCACAGCTTGATAAATCTAAAATTATACAATACTAGCGTAAACATGGCCACACCACTTTGTAGGAAGGGAGAGATCTAATGAGGAGAACACAGCTGCTTGGCGAGGGAGAATTTCATCGATCAGACTATGCTGGGAATGATGGTTAGTAATTGGCCCAGATGATATTTGGCTGATCTCTTATGTGATCTTGATCATGTCACTTTATTCTTCACTAGACTGTGAAGATAAATACACTTTAAAAAATCAGACAAAGTCATGGCTTTGCATAAAGATGGTGATATTCCTGGAGGAAGGTGGCACCTATAGCTACTACTGCTGCTGCTGCTGTGATGATTACTTGATGCCATTATTGAGCATCTCTGTGCCAGGTCCTGAGTCACACATTATCTCTAATGCTTCTGAAAGGTTTCCAGGACAGTACTAGTAGCCCCTTTTTAGACACAAGGAAACTGAAACACAGAAATGTTAATAACTTGCTCAACAGCACACAGCCAGTTAATAGTTCCAGTATGTATATTTTATGGGTCAATTGACACCTATTAATTATTTGTACTGTCCTCTTTCCCTCTTATCAGTGTCCTGATTTGGATAATAAATAATGCAGTCATCTCACGTAAATGGCCCATTCAGAATTTGAACTCTGACATCTGATTCTAAAGCCCAAGCTTTCTCCACCCAATCATATTGCCTTTCATTCCTGATGATGAGTTTAAAGCAAGCTAGTTGTTATAGAACAAACTTAAAAAAGCATTCTCTTCCTTTATTAGTGGGGATAAGTGGATTCTTTAAATATTGGGGTAGTCATATGCTTACAACCACCACTAAAGTGAGTACAAAACAGAGAACCCTTGAAATAGCATCTGGGCATAAATATAAAGGTCATGAATAGAGTTTGGGCAAAAAAACCAAACAATAACAAATTCATAATTATCCTTAAATATATTTTAAAAAAATCATTTGGAAAATAACACCTTAAATCCTCTCTGAGAGATAACCACAGGAATGTAACAATGTGATCCAGCTCTGAAAGAGAAATTAGTAGGTGAAATGTCCTAAACCCAGAGGGATGTTGAAACACACTGAAAAAGTCTCCAAAGAAAAGAGTCTAGGAAAGTTAAAGTCTTGAAATGCAAATAAAACAGTAAATAGTAGGATGACTTTCAGAACTTGTTGCATACATATGTGCACAATACAAAACTGCATATATAGTGTATGTATATAAATACATATATTATATATAAAGAAAAAAGAGAACTAGAACAGGTTGAGAAGGCAAGAGAAGCAGACAAGACAACATCAAAAGATTGTTCTCTTACAGCTGGCAGATTTCTGAAATAAGAAATCAATGATCTTTTCAGGAAAAGTTTAACTTCACAGATTCGAAGTCTTTTCTACTTTTATTGCTATTAATTTTAACCACTAGTTTTAATTTCATTTATTTAAAGGAAAGTAAAACTGTTTTAGTGAACAACTGATTTATTACAGAGGAAGAGGTGGTTTAGGAAATGCACCCAGTGTTATGAGCCTTGTAGTACAATTATGAGTGAACCTCAGAATCTGGAGACACCAGAGTAGTCATTATTTTTTATTAAATATTTATTTTTGCTTTCATGTGTTTTTCCATCTTTTCCTATCAAAGGAATCCTGCAACTATGCCTGTGCAGGCCATTTTCTCTCATGTTCAGGCTTCATGAGAATTTTAGTTATTTTACTAGAAATGTCTACTTTAGAAATGTAATTTCACCATAACAATTGTGAATCTTTACTTTTCTTCTCTCAGATTCTGTTTATCAAAGGAAAAAAGAAGGAAAAGAAAAGAAAAGGAAAATCCTAAGCTTAGTATCTAGAGTACATGCTGGAGACTTTGGCTAATGTGATTACATTTAATGCACTTTAACATTCTCTGTAAGTGAATACCAAGAACTGTTCCTACAGGATTTACTCGGTTTTGGAAGGACTGTGAATAGTTCAATATTATAATACAAAATGACATTCACATCTTTATAAGTGGATGAATAGTTCTTGTAAGAAAGAGAGAACACTTTCAAGATTAATAAAATGTCATTTGAAACATTGTAAATGTTCATTATAATGATATCTATGTCTACATGATGCCAAAATGAGTTATTGCATCAATAATTTATTTGCTGTCAAAGACTAGTTAAGTTTATCTGCCAATATATAGGCAAAATTATACTTAAATGTTGTTCTTTTCAGTTATTTTGGATGATATTGTATACCTCCAGCATAGTTTTATCACATGTCTGCATTTTTTTTTAATTTTGGAGAGAACCATAGGAATAATGAGTACCCAGATTATTCTATGTGAAAGCTCAAAACTTCTTAAAATATTTTATAATACAGGAGAAAAAGGTGAGAATTCCAAAACACATATATACTTCAGATGTTTTTCATTATTTTAATGTTGTGCTATGCATTAAACTGAAACAAATATAAATTTTTAGAAATCTATTTTGCTGTCATAAAAAATCAAGATTGATTGATTAATGATAGTTGTTAAATAAAAGTATTTTTTTATGTTTAAGTTACCTTGAGATGAAACTTGCTGAATCAAGAAAACAGAAACCAGCAGCAACAAGTACATGGAAAATATTTTCCACTCCATGGTTGTTTTCAGGTACTGCATGAACCTTGCTGAGAATAAAATTAAAATATCAGAAAACTGCTCTTTAATCTCATGCCTAATTTATGCTTGTGTTACACACAATGTTTCAATAACCTTTAAAATGCAATTTAATGACAAAACCATCTCATTCTGGAAACATGACTTTTTAAAGTAATCAGCTTTAATTCTACAGAAAATATTTGGCCGTTAGATTCAATCTTATGCAGAGCAAATCAAGTCACCCTCAGTCATGTTATCAACCATTTTGACAATTTAGAAATCTCCAAAATAGAAAATAGACATCTTAAGACTCTCTTCAAAGTATAGCGTGTACTTACAGTGCAAAGTTTAAATCCTATCTTGGGGGGAAAAAAACCCAGCTTCAGTAAAATTTAACAAACATAGTGGAGTTATTTTTCCAATTTTCCCTTAACGACTCTCTTCAAAGTATAGCGTGTACTTACAGTGCAAAGTTTAAATCCTATCTTGGGGGGAAAAAACCCAGCTTCAGTAAAATTTAACAAACATAGTGGAGTTATTTTTCCAATTTTCCCTTAACTCTCAATATAAATTTATAGGCTTTCAACAGGTGTATTATACAAATATGATCCTTTTCAAAATTTTCCTACTACTATACTTAACTCCTTTCCAACACCTTTACTGGAAACACATTTAATTCCATGAGAAAAGTTAACTTTAACACTTACCAGTAAAAGGATAGATGAGTTTCTCCAATGTCCTGGAAGTCTTATATATCAGTGCAAATATATTGGGAAGAACCAGTTAGTCCAAAGGTTACACAAAATCAACAGTGACAATCTATGAAATCAAACTTTCCTCATTTATTGGAAGAGGGCCCAGACGACTAGACTTAGGCAACAGCTGGAAAACACTTCCATTAAGAAAAATGACTACTACAAAATAAATTCAAATTTATTGGGCAAACACATTTCTAATTTCTGAGTGAAGTGAACAAAGTGTCCTGAAATGGTGAATCGCTCTGGCAGGATTTGACTAGCATTTTGAAGCAGCAATTTAAAAATAGTCAAATGCCAGAATCATTTCTTTATTTTTTTTTTCAGTTAAATCTAGCAAAGGTGGTTTTGAAACTTATCTAGTGTTAGCTTGTGGTATAAATTTTCTGAACTTATACCATTAGACTGAATGTACATTTCTTTTCTTGAATGTTTTTATTTCCTCTGAGCACAGAAAACATGTTCTCAATTATCTACAGGTGAATTGTTCATGCTGTGGATTTTCTTGCTTCCTTTACCATATAAATACTTGCTTAAAAAATTGTACTGATACTTCCTTTTGCATTTTTATTTAAGACCAGCAGTGTGTGAAGATGCTCGTTTAAGTGAATAATTTAACTTTCTCACCACAGAGAAAATGTGAACCATCAGCTTTGCAGAGATAAGTCAGCTCAGCTCAAGGCTTTACCCTATTTTGACATGGAATGTTCCTGTTCAAATCTTACCTACCAACGTAAGGTCTTGCTCATGCCCTAATTCCTTTCTGAAACCTTCCTGGATCAACCCAAATCACATCTACAATTATAGTCAACAAATGGACTACATTTTATTGAAATTACCTGTTTATCTCCCTCCCACCTACAACAAACTGATTTTCCTAAGGGCAAAACACCTCTGCTTTAGTTCTATTGCCAGCATCTAGTCCAGTGCTTCACCGAGGTTTTGTGTTCAACACAGGTTCTATAAACTAAACTGCTGTAGCCCTGATTCTGCCATGTACTATGAATTTGGTTGTTGCTGCATTTCATTATCACAAAATGCCTTTAAGTTAAATACAATCACCCACATTTTACAAATAAGATGAAGACCCACAGAGAAGGAATTGGTGACCCATCTAACAATCCATAAGGACTAGGAGCCAGAACCAAAATTTGAACCCATGTCTTTGCATTTTAATTTCTATCAGGTTCTAGTATATCCAGCTTCCTTTTGACCAAAGCCATCACTTACGAAACTTGTACTAAACTTTAATCCTTCACGTGTATTAATAGGTTTATAACATTGTTGCCATTTTAAGGACAGGGATTATAAGATTCTCTTTTGGCCCCACAATGCTTATTTCTGGACTAAATATTTAAAGACAGTTTAGAGGCTATCTGCTCACCTCTTAATAATCCCACTTCTCTGAGAACTGCCTCCCCATCTGTGTGGGTATTTTCCTTTTAGCTGTGGTTACACTTGTACATGAAATCTTGCCACATCAGCCACGGTCAGTAGGATTAGGAGTAGAAAACTAAACTAACGTGGGCCAGTATGTCTCCCTCTTCTAAAAATTCAGAATTACGATTCAGAAATTACTAGTCTGTGTGTCTTTGCAAACCTATAATATGTAAGTTTCTTCCCATGCTCTAACGAAGAAGAAAAAGGTTTTCACAAGAAAGACAGGCAAATGAACAAAGTAGCCGTACAGAGAGATTTCTGATAATTTTCTAAGTCTTGGTTACTCTTTGTTCTTTACACCTGACTTCTTGCTCTTTCTGTCTTTATATTTCCCTTTGGAGCTAAAGCTGACTAAAGATACTTTTTCTACTTAAAGCACTACTCAATACATAGTAGATACACAAAAGGCTGTTGGATGGAGTTGAACTGAACTCTCTTAATTCTTAAGTATACTGAGTTCCAGAAGGGGGAAGCTGGAAGCTTTGTAACTTTTTCAAGTCAGACCTTTACAGTGTTGCTTTATTATTTGATTGAAATGTTGCAGATACCCAAATCAGATACAAATATGCACAGAGAAATATTATTCAATAAAATATAAATTCCTCTCTGATTATTGGCTTTTGAACTCTCTGTACTATTATTTTCCTCCTTTGTATAAAGATCATTATAATGATGGCAAATAGCATTCTTAAATTGATTCAGTAATATGTACTTGTTCTTAAGTCCAAGTTATAGGCTTAGAAAACTGACAAACAAAATACACAGACGCACGCACACACACACACACACAATTATGACCATTGTAAACTATAACCTTAAACATTTCCATTAACATATTATCATTGTCATCAGGTACGTATTTTCTGTGTAGTAAAGTATGAAAAAGAATGAGAAATTATTAAATGCCCAGCTTATTAGATTTAACTGATAAATACCTGATTTGCCTCATTCTATTGGGTAATGAGGCTGTCTGGGTGAAGTTTACCCTTAAAGCATGAAAACATTTCAATTTTATCTATTAAATATAGTTTTAGAAACTGTACTAAAGACTCCATTCTGTTAATTTGGGGCCATTTACATCCCTTGATGATGCAGGAATCATCCTATTAGGTTAAAGGCTCTCTCTTTGAGATTTCCTTTCTCATTAAAGGTATTTCTTAATGTTCATTTAAATCTCATTTAATTGGGATAAAAATTAACCTTGGATTGGTTTTTAATATGGGAAAGATGGGGAGAGGAGAGAATAGAGAAATGGAGAGGACACATATAATATTGGATCCTGTACTCCTCATCTAGGGATGATTTTCACACGGTTCTCCCTCATGAACACCAGTTTCTATACTTGGCAGCAACATAGTGATGCCCTCAGAGAACATTCGAGCACGTTTAGGGGTTATTTTCTCTGCATTAGATTATCCCAGACTGTTGTGCCCTTCTGCTTGGTATGTTCTTTCTCTTCCCTTCTGCTAGCTGTCACTTTGCCCTGTAACCAGAGTGTCTGCACCTGGTGGTTTCCCTCCACCTTTCCACATCTTTGATGTGTTTCATTTCCTTCCAATAGCAGCCTAGGAAAAACCAAAGCACGCCAGGGGAAAATCACAGGTGCAAGCTTGTTCTTTACTGCCCTAATGTTGCTCACTATGCTGAATTAATGTGCTCTAGAGGTGGAATAGCTCCTCTCTTCTCATCTGTTAAGGAGGCCAGGATTTTGAGATGACTTTAATCCTTTCTGTTCAAGGCCTTTTGACATACTGGAAAGTTTCGTGGCCTTTGTTTGTTTGTTTGTTTGTTTGTTTTGCAGATATTTGACCAAAAGCCTGATCATCAGGTCAAAGTATTACTGTATTTGCTTTTGGGGATTGTGGCAGTCTGATCATTGGTCCCAATGTTTTCTAACTGTTTCTAGCTGCCAGCTGCCAGCTAGAGATTACATTTCCCAGCTTCCCCTTTATGTAGGTGTGACAATATGCCTAAGTTTTCTCAGGTGCAATAGGAATAGAAGCGATATGAGCAACTTCCACTCTTTTTCCTAACAGTAAGTTGCTTGACCTGGACTTCCTCTTTTTCTCCTTTCTTGCGGACTAAAGGGCAGACATCAGACCAGCCTTGATCATGCAGACAAGGATAGCAGCTTCAAGATTAGTATTCTGTGTGTAACATATATGCTCTATCACTCCCTGCACTAGTCAGAGAGTTTCATAAAAGGAAATGTATTTCCATTGTATCTGAACAACTCTAATTTGGGGTCTTTTTTAGATATTAGGTAAGGAACATAGAAATAATAAGAAATTTCCAAATATTTAAATAAATTGTATTCTAAAAATTTAATACATATACTATACAATAATGGAAAAGAATGAATTGCCAGTAATGAACTACTGATATTGGAAAGGGAGACATAAACTATCTCTATTTGCAGATGACATGATTATGTTTGTAGAAAACTCTAAAGAACCTACAAAATGTTATAAAAAACTAATGAGTAAATTGAGCAAGATTGCAGAATTTAAGATCAATAACAAGATCATATTGAGGACATTTTAATACATGAATTTATATGTGTAAGAATAAAGAACTCTCTCTATTGAATTTTCTAAGAATAAGAGTTCATTCATTCAATTCTTTTGATGAACAATTCCTAAATAGTGCTCACTACTTGCCAGCCCTAGTATTAATTGCTGGAGATACACAAATCTATATATATATATATGCAAGAGAGAGGCTCTGGTCCCTAGGATTTCTTGGACTAGTCAGGGAGCCAGGTATTTAAACAGATAGTTCAAATATTGTGTTAAAGGAGGAGGC